CCACAGCACCACTCAAATCACCTGGGATGGAGATATATAACTGGGTATCATCTGCATATTGATGATACCTCATCCCATGGTGGCGGATGATCTCGCCCAGCGGTTTCATGTAGATGTTAAAAAGGAGTGGGGAAAGTATTATATATATAATTATGTCTTTGTTTTTAATATTCTGTCTCCTTCAAATAGTGATAAAATAGATAATTGATGGTTCTCAGATCTTATTTATCTCCCTGAAAACTTATTTTTATCAATCTTGGTTGATTTCAAAAAAGCTAAGTAGAGTTAAGCCTGATTATTACTTGGATAGGAGGCCACCAAAAATCCCAAGGCTATGCACCAGACCTGGCTGGAATGAAAAAAGAAAAAGAAGGTCATGGAAAAAGAAGGCAGTGGAAACCCCTTACCACGTCCTGCTGCCAGAAAAACAGCATGGACATGGATATGTTATCACCAAAGTTAAGCTCAGCTTGAAGGACATTTTATTTAAATGGCATGTCCACATAGGAGCTGGCCTAATCTATTCTTGCTTTCTTCTCTTCTGTAGCTCATAGCAGGAATCCAAGCCAATAAATTTTACAGCCCAGATGGATTTTGAAATTCCCCTTCAATGTTAGGGATATTTGGGGGTAGAAAGCATCTCTATCAGCCTCATCTCTCTTTGCATGTTTAGAGTAACGGTCCTTATAGTCTCATTCTTTATGCAGCTATGTCAGATTAAGGGCAGGGAAAACAGTTAGAAATCCTAGGACTCTGCAAAGTATTTGAAAGTTTACTTCATAAAGCATGTTGAAATCAATGAAGTATCCCGCCTTGAAACAATGAGGCAGCTGCATCTTCCAGAAGGTGCAGCTGCTTTAAGGATCTTCCCAGGTCATCCATACTGAGGAGCAAATGTGAAGCACATGGAAACAACCTAGGAGGACCCTTGAAACAGCTACTTTCAAAGGATGCAGCTGCTTTGTACCAATTTACTTCATTAAGCCCAGTTCAAATATTTTGAATAGGCTTAATAAATGATTAGTAGTAAGATGGAATGGCTTTGAGGCATTTTTATCAGAAAAGATGGTAGGTGCTGTCTGCCTATTCCTCCAGAATCTTTTCTCAAATCTGTCCATTGCAATCTTTGACCTCTACGCTTTTTTGAACATCTAGCAAGAAGCAGGCAAGTTGACCTTATTAGAGTGCTGATAGGTTTTGCTTGGCTGACAGCAGAAACTCACATAACTGTTTACAGAATGTTATTGTATTGAGTAAAACAGAGCTGGTTTTATCATGCTTTTAAAAAATGCTTGGCTATACTTCAGGGTTGTTGTTTTTTAACGTAATATCAAGACACTAATTTATAGATTTTGTAGTTCACAAAATACTAAAGCTTGTTGGAATCTTCAAATCACACAGGGCTGAGGGAAAAAAAGAAGGTTTCAGTAGAAGAGAATATATGTAGCTCAGGGTTGGACTGTGGAGTCTTGGTGCTCTCTGAGCTTGGACTGCTCGCACTGATGATGTTACCGAGTTGGGTCATGAAACAACTGCAAGCAACCAAGCTCAGAGAGCACCAAGTACTCCACAGTAAATGAGGTTTCCATGGTGGTTGTATTACTACAGAGCTGGCTTTACTTACAGCAGCTGTGTATTATGGCAGTCTCTGGGACAGGAAGATGCCTTTATTCCCCAGACTTTACCCGCACCAATAAAATATGACATTTGTGTTTATATGATAGCTGCATATACAAGATAATTTATCTCAGAGGGCAGTGCTTTACAAGTGCAACACTCTGGCACTAATGATTTGATAGATTTCTTTCAAGTTTTCTTAGCATAGTTCTTGTTAGATTGAATATTCTTCATATGTCCTGCAAGAATTAACTCTCTTATAAGACAAAGAGTGAAGGGGAGGCAAACAATGTTTGGCATCGTGTTGTTACAGTATACAGAACTTACATATGGACAGTTGCCTGCTATGGCCCATTGACTATGTTTACAATAGTCAATAGGACAGTAGTATTTTTATAGGCATTTCTAGGATATGATACTGTCTTTAATTGTAAGCCGCCCAGAGTCTCCCTCTGGGGGAGAAGAGCGGCATGTAAAATAAATAAATAAACAAACAAACAAACAAATAAATAAAATCTTTGCTGAAGTAATACTCATTTAAAGTAATGGGAGTAATTTTAAGAGTACTTTTTGTTTTATGTAGCATTCACATAGTTTCCATAGTTGGGAAAGTCCCAGTAGGAAATCAACTAAACCACCATTTTAACTCAACTGTCTTGTGCTATTGTGACAACCTCTTCTTCAGACTCCCTTTCCATCTCTTTCTCACTTAATATAGCCCAAAGCTCATGGGATCAAATTTTATAAGTTTCCATCCTATAACATCTGTTTTTCTAATTGCTTTCTGTGCTTTTTTATTTCTTTCTTTTCCAGATCTTTTATGATCTTGTCAGACAGATAAATAGAAAAACACCAGTGGAAAAGAAGAAGCCTAAAAAGAAGTCATGTCTGCTGCTTTAGACCCACAGCATGCAGCAGCTCTGAGCCAGGTAAGCAAATATGTCCCCTTTAGGTTCAGCCTTCTCAAAGCTCAGGGATCTCCAGATGGGTTAGACTCCCATTCCCCAGTTCTCTGTCAGTATGGCTGAACGGTCAAATCCGATTATTTTCCTGAGACATGTTGCTACTGACTCTACCCTGAAGCTGTTCTGTTATGTAAGGGCAACTGTAGACTGTGAAACAGAGGCTGCAGTGGAATTGAAAGCTGTTTTCTGTAAAGTTTTGGTAAGCATTCGTTCCAATCCAGTACTTCATATAAAGAGCATCCTTGTTCTTGACTTTCAGGGGACTTGGACACACAATTTCCACACTGTAAACATGACATACACAACATTGGGGTGGTGCCCAGTTCTGATAAATCATTCTTCTTTTATGTACCTTCTTTAGCCAGTATCCTGCCACAAGTGCTTTCTTCTGCTGTAGACAAGTGCCTCATCATTATGTCCTAGGATGTTCTTTTCTTCCCCATATCACATCTTGTTTTATTTATTAGATTTCTCTCTCACTTTTCTGTCCATCTCTTCACACATTTCTTAGAAGGCTTGATTAGAGCATTAATCTACAAGCTCTAAAAGGAGTTTCTGCTCGTGTGAGTTAAGTAGATTTACCTTTCAGAATTCCCTGCTCAGTGCAAGAACTGAAACTTGGGGGTGGGGGCGTGCACAGGAAGGTGAACACCTATTGTCCTGTTTCCCTCTTTATTTGGTACTCTCATGCATTTGGAGGAAAATGAGGAATTGAGGTCTTTTGAGAAGTCAGAAGCTTGCATAATTCCTTATAACATTTTAGTTGATTCAATGAAAAAATAGATTTATTGAGTTAAAGTGTTTGTATCCTACCCTCCCAATGAAAAAATATGTTTTATGATGAATATGTATCATTATAGGCAAAAAAGATGCAGTCAATACCACAAGGTTAAAACAGCAGCTGCAGAAATCTACACCAATCCTCTTTACACCCATCCCTGAACTGCTGTCTCATATCCCATGCCATTTCAGAAGGGCCCCTCACCCCCGGGACTGACAGCTGTTGAAAGAAGCTGGGAATCCCCTTCTGTGTACATGTCTGTTGTACTCAAGTTTACTATGATTAATTCATTAACAAATCTGAGCAAATTCGAACTATTTTAACCAGTGCTTACAGCTCAACTAAGTCTATACCAATCAAACATCTCTAGGGAGGACGTTCCCCACTTGGAGTACTGATACAGAAAGGGCAGGTTCTTCAGTAGGTATCCACCCTTAGTTCTGAAACCTGAAGCATCAGGAAAAGATTTGCATGTAATCTTGAAAGTCGAAAAGATAGCTTTCCCAGTTTGATTCACTCCATATGCATTGGACAACAACTCCCAGAATTCCCTGCCACTATGGCTGGTTGAAGATGACCGATAGAGAACTTAATGCTCTTTTTTATCTGTCTGCATGCATATTTTATGCTGCTACAGTGAAAAAGACTCTCGGTGCTCACATTAAAAGTTTTTGTCTGAAAAGTCTGTTTTGAGTTGGATGCTAACTTTTCTCTTCGGCTTCTTTACCCAGGATCACAGGAATGAAGAACTGTTGCCTAATTTGGAAAGTGCCAGCATTCCAGAAATTCAAAAAAGCTACACCACAAATTGACATCATATCTGAAGAGGCTTCTGTTTTTATATATTATGTGAAGAATTTAGATCTTACAATGGTTTGCACAAAGGTCCCTGAGGAAAAAAAATGAAAATAAAATTGCTCTGTGTATATCTCTTGGAATTAAAGACAATAGTACTTCTCTTTTGCAATAGCAGTTAACAAATGTGATAATAAATATAATTGATTCTAGTTGTATGATTATACAAGAGCATGGATGCATTTCAAATGTTAGGTATTGCTACTATAATTTCATATTGACCTCTTCCCATAGTCCCGTGCCCATCAAGCACTAAAAATGATCAGTCATTAATACTTGATAATCTATCATGATAGATACAACTATACAAATTTTACTGTTCATACTCACTGCAGCGATAACTTTCCAAGTCATTGACTTCATTTTATATTTAAAAAGTTATGGACTATCATTATTTTCATTCTGCCCTATATTCTAATTAAAATTGTGCATTATGCTTTGGAAAAAAATGGGTCTTTTATAGGAAAATAAACTGGGATAACTGATTTCTATGGCTTTGAAAGCTAAAATATATAATATACTAAACCAATTCTAATACTGCTTCTTGTGTTTTACTGTCACAGATTAAATTACAGCTTTTATGATTGATTAAATTTTAGTACATTTCCACTTTGTGTGTTTCTCTTTTAGGTTGCAGATCACGGCTTTTAACTGAAACGGTGAAAAACATTTGTAACAGTAAATACAAATACACTAGTAACTCCCAGCTGGGTTGTACAAGAAAGTCCCCAATGGGGACCCCATGGCTGAAGAGATCTGGTGGTGATTTTTCTTAGCCAGTTTAAGTAAATTTGTGATGCGCAGGCAGAAGTGATTTGAAATTTCAGTTAAGAGTTTATGTATAAATAAACAATTCATTAAAGAATGCCCACCATTGTATTAGACAAACACAGTAAGTAAGATGTAATAGTTGATTCACTAGATATGATGCACCAGTAGATTATAATTATGAATGTAAGTGCCTTTTCAGTTTAATTCTGGAAACTAGTACTAATCTGTTCTCTAGTTTGCTTATATGTTGGACCCTATAATACAAATCTGTTGAAAAACAAACTTTGGTTTGGAGCAATGGCTATAAATGTAGTGGAAGTGGGAGGAACATTTAACACCATCAGACTTACATTTTTGCCTTCAGTTCAGGTTTGCATGTGTCCCCAGGAATGAGGGTTGTATTTAATGTTGTAATAAATAGTGTTCATCTGCCACCTAGTGGACATAAAAATACAGTAAGCTTTTCCCCATTAGAGAAACTTTGATCATAATATTGAAATATATTAGTAATTCATTGAAATGTTCTAAATATTTCCTATTATTGTCAGAGAGGGGTAGAAGTTCTAGTTTCTGACCAGGAATTTAGTAATTTAATAAGAACGCTAATTCAGTAAAATAATGGCTTTTCTAATCACATCTCCTATTTGGTGTTGCAATAGTACAGTCACCTAATTGCTAAGATGCCAAGCCACCAGGCACTAATGGATAGAAACATGGTACAGATAACAAATGTGGTATATTATCACTAATTATCTATTGTGTAGCTCCTCTCTTTCCTCTGCTAAGCCTATCTAGGCCCACACAACACTTATAAAAAAGGGTCAGTCATGGCCACCATCTCAACATTTCTGAACTTCCTGCAGAAGCCCCTGATGTCAGCTCACTTTACTTCTCAGTAAAGTAAGGCAGAAAAGTTGGATGTAGCAGACAAAGGTTACCCAGAAAGCTTGCTCCCTAGGAGGCCCCTTTCACAGGCAAATTTCATCAGTGGTTCCCAAGCTTCTCCATTATATCAGCAGTGAAAGCTTTTGTGGACCAACACATCAGCCAAAGGTTGGCAATATAGTGCCTGTCAGCACTGCAGTACGTATCAGCTCTTCTTCTCTTGATATCTTCAGGGCCTTGGCATTCAATAAAAAATATTTTTTTAAAAAAAGTCCAAGCTTTTTCCAGACCACCAGATCAGATGAGATGATTTCCCCAGTAGTTGTGAGTGAAAATGCCAACAACTTATGAGGTCTAGTGATGTTGATTTCATCCATTTTAATTTCTTTTTTATTGTGGCACCCAGGACACAGATAACTTGCAATATCCTCACAGATCCAAGTTGCCTTTGGAGGTCTATGTTCTTTTCTTTTTTTATCACTGAACTGCTTTTAGCTGTCACTGAAAGCAGCAAGAGTTCCAGGGTCCGCCTGACACTCTCTTCCTCCTTTCCGGGTCCATCGGGACCCGGAGTGCAGGCAGTTCTAAGTTTGGCTTTGAGGCTGCTTGCCTCCCAGAGCTACTCACCTGGGTGAGCTTGGGTGAAGGGAGGCAAAAGAGAGACTTAGGGGTCAGCAAGTATGCAATCAAATAAAGAAGAATGACATCGTGCAGCCTGTAAAACAAGCTCCAAACGACACAATTCTTGGTTTAAACAAGCCATTTCATAAATTGCCAACAACTTGGTTTCAAATAGAGGCTGGTTTGTGGGAAATGTGTACAAAGTCAATCCCCACCCCCAAAAAAGTTTAGCTTTTTGCGTGACCCAAAGTAATGTATGTAAATGAGATTAGAGAGATCCAGAGGGAGAAAGAGAAGTGTACATGTTCCTTGAAGATGATTTTAAGAGATGGTTGACAGTGTGTGATGTAAGAGATGTTACACGTACTTTCCTCCTATTCAGGGACGTTGTTTTAAAAATTATTTAGAAGTGATCTGAGGAGCATTAGATGTTCCACTGTGAAGCAGATACTTTGTTGGAGCAAGAAACGGGGGGCTGAAATGAGTATGCTTGTATCTAGTCTCACTTGTTTGGATGGATTTTTTTTTTCTTAATTTTTGTGATTTTGCCAACGTCTGGCAGCCACTACATCTTCTCAAGAATCCATAGGCCTCCAAAGTTTGGAGACTCCCTAATATTATCCTTACCCCAGTAGATTTCCCTGGGCAGTTGAAGTGGAGTTTTCATCTTTACTTTGACACAACTCTGTGTTGCACAGTGGAGAACGTTTTCATTAACTGGAAAGGTAGAATGAAATACACATGAATTTTTTCCATTTAAACAAACATTTTGAGCTCATCTCAGAGCAAATTGGGCTTTGTAGTAACTACTGATAACTGTTGTCAATGTCTTATACATCTCAGGACTAGGTGAAACGAGTAGAGTGGGAAGGTTCACTTAATAGCCCTCAGTGAACTGAAGAATAGGCAAGTTTTGTTCTTAATGTCTTTGTTGTATACGCATATTTCTTTCCCAGTGGGCAATAAAGCAGCCTACAGAAATTTATTACATTGGTATTTATCTCTACTGGATGGCATGTGAAGGCAATTTTAGTGAAGTGACTGCAGTTTGTTTCAGGAAAATAATGCTTTGTATTTTTTAAATGGGATAAACACAAATCAGGTCTTTGAACACCTTTAAAGAATAACAGCTTATTCTAGCAACAGCTTCTGCTGTAATAAATTTGTTAGTCTTTAAGATTCCACAAGAGTCTTTATTGTTTTGTCACCACACATTAATATTACTGAGTTTTCCCATCCATGATTACTCTCTATCCCTACAACTATGCATGGGGCAAAGCAGGAGCAGCAGCGACCGAATCTGTTGAGATCAAAGAACGGGGACAGTGCCAAGCCCTCAGATTGGTACACGGATAGGGAGGAAACTTTATTGAGAAAACAATGTTTTGCTTCCTGTGGGCAACTGTAATTTGCCCCAAGACTACTTTTTGTGGTTGCCTGAACCTCCCCCAACTACAATTTCTGCACACGCATTACAAAACAATACGTTCTGTTCATTAAACATATTGGCTCCCCAACTCAACACAGCTCTGTACATTGTACAATATATGAAACTTAATGTAGTCCTCAGACATAAAAGGTAATGTTTCTCCCCCCCAAAAAAAATTCAACCATAATCTCTCAGATCAGACAACCCACAAGGACTTTGCCAGCCACTGTAGCCCAAGGCCTTGGGGGGGGGGGGGACATCTTAAGGACTTGTCTAAATAAGGTTAGGGTGAAGTCATTCCAGAGGGCAGGACTTATGACAGAGAAGTAGTTACATCAGATGGTATTGTTTGATTATGGGATATGGAGCATGCCAGCTCTGCCAGATTGTATAGGACAGAAACTATGGAAGACAGGAGATCCCTCAAGTAACCAGGCCTTATGCCAAGAAGGGCTTTATATGTTATAACCAGCATCTAAAATTTGCATCTGGAAGCCACCTGATCACCAGTCCAGCTTACAAAGCAGAGGTGTTACATGGGCCTACTATGGGCAGGCCCATAACTGCTGTGCCACTACATTGTGGAGCAGCCATTCCAAGGCATTGTCAGTTCCCTTTCAATTGTGTTTCAGTCAGGAAACACAGACCAAAATGTAACTCCTAAATTAGGCTTAACATAGTTCTAAAAACAAAGAGGTTGACTTATCTCCAAAAGCTGGCGAGAAGAAAATGCAGCAAGACCCCTACATGTGATAAAGACCCATTCAGTTTACATCATTGCCCCATCCACTGCAACTCTCAGCTCACACACACCCCGTTTATTTTTATTTGGTTTTTAATATATGTTTTTAAAACATAATTGATGTTTTAACAGTAATAGATTGTTGTAAATAAACAAGAAATGTGGGGAAAATGTTGTAAGGCAACCAAGAAAATGGTCCGTGCATCTTCCTTATTGACTTTTCTCTCCAACTAGCCAGTAGGTGGCACTTCAGTAATGCATGTTACAGCAGAGAATGGAAGTGGATAAAAGCAAGAGGCATGACTCTCCCTGTGTCTAGTTCTTAAGCGAAATAGCAAGCAAAAAGATCTGTAGAGCATCTCCACTTTTAAAATTGTTCTCAGTCAATGTGAATTTTTTAAAAATGAAATTCTCATGATGATGCACCGTTTTTGCACTAATTGTAGTTATGAGATGATAGAAGATGTGTGTAAATGTCCCACATGATGATGACAACTTTTGGGAAACTAAAGAGAGATCTTGATGCAATCTTGTTAAACAGCAAAGGTAAACAAGCATTGAAGTCAAAGATGTTCAGTTCTCTTTTCACACTCAGAGGCAAACACCTAAAACAAGTTATATTTTGCAGGAGATTTTAATCTCCCACACATTTTCACACATCCTTTATTGGACAAGTACAAATACTCTTAATGTTTATGTCTCTCAGAAGAAGAAGCTGTGCAGTCTGAAGTTGCTTTTGGATTCTAAACTCTTTCTGGTTTCCCAGATTAAAGCAATGGCCAGGAGTACCTTTTTTCACCCTTGGGTGATACACCAATTGAAGGCAGACTTTCCTGGAAGAAACTCATCTTGAAACAAGTGCCTCTGCTGGTAACCCTCAGGTTTGACTGGAAACTGCAACTCATACAGAATTCAGCAGCCAGGTTTGTCTTTGAAAAAATTCAGGGAGGGGACATTACTTCTACCTAAAGAGTTGTGCTGGCTGCTGATTTGTTTGTGGATAAAATACAAAACACTGTTTATGATTTTGGAAGCCCTGTGCAGCTCGCTTGAAAATCCCTCTTTCTCTGTAATCCTCAAACTCACACATTCCCTGAACTCATCTGAGGGGATTCAGCTGCAGTTGTCATGGGTTTAGTGACTTAGCACTGAACTGTCCCCATAGCTTCCTCAGTTGTTGTTTCTTCTTCTTCTTCTTCTTCTTCTTCTTCTTCTTCTTCTTCTTCTTCTTCTTCTTCTTCTTCTTCTTCTTCCTCTTCCTCTTCCTCTTC